AAGGTCTTAAATACATAAAACAGAAGTCTGCCAACGCCTAATCGTTTCAATAAAATTTTTTAATACTAACTATTTTCAACTACATTAAACCGTAACAGTTGATAGATTAAAATATTTTTTAACATAACCATAACCATTTTTTATCGAAGGAATTTTAACATCAGATAGTTGGTGTAAATTATTTAGAGCAGATATTTCCCGGACGATAAATGCGTAGACAATGTTGAAGAATTGAATGGCCTCCACGTTCACCCGATTTCAATCCTAAAGATTATTTTTTAGGGATATCTAAAAAATTCAGTTTACAAAACTTAACCTGCAAGTCTTGCAGAGTTAAGGCAACGAATTTTATCGATGAATCTTAAATAATTTCTAGACAATTATGGAGAAATGTAGTAAACGCATTCTACTATCGATTAGGGTACTGTCATCTCACAAATTGAGCACATTTTGAACACTTAATAACGTAACTATTATGTTAAAAATGTTCTAATCTATCAATTGTTATGGTTTAATGTAGTTAGTATTAAAAAAAATTAATAGTCAGACTTCTGTTTTATGTATTTAAGACCTTCTAGACTACATAAAATCATATGTTACATATGGTTGAACCCGTATTGAATAGGAGATTCCAATAATGGCTGAATATACTGGGTGATGTATTTTAAAAACCAAAGTTACTAACAATATAAGAGAAACGGCAAATCTGGCAACACTGCAAATACCAAACATGGAATCTCCGTATCCCAAAATAGGTGTATCTCAAATTTTGTACAATTATGACTAGCATTTTAAGAGATAATTGGCCGTTTCCATACTTTTGGGCCACTCTGTATATATACATAAGTAAAAAGTAATAGAATGTCTCGCAAAACAAAAAAACCAAAAATGGTTTATCGATGGAAGGCAACCGTATATAGGTACGTATTTCTGACTATTGGCCGTCTTCAGTACGGTGTAGCCAAGTTAGAAAAGGAGCATATTAACTTGGGAAAGGATCACTACAGGAGCAATTAAACCAATTTGTGGCATTAGAGTTAAATTACATTTAAATGTCTATTATATATCAACGATGTAACTTTGAGTATCAATTAACATCTGGTTGGCTAGTTTCAACTACTCTACGGAATGTAAGTATTTACCGCATTTGTGTTTTTTTCAACAGTCAAATTTTACCTTTGTCTTCATTTTAAAGTAGAAATACTTCATTTCAGGTCACTGAAGTTGGTCTGAAGATAGACAAACGTTTGCCACCATAACCGCTAACCTCCATTGATGGAGACGGCACTTGAAGAAGAAGAAGAAGTTGGTCTGATAGACCGAAAACGTTCTGATGTTTTACAATCCCTTTAGATAACTTTTTAAACATTTCTTAAATAAAAAATATACCATTTTACAAATCCTGAAGTTTTTACTCCTTTGTAAGTTAATTATCATTTTGTTGTCAGACATTAGAAGATTGTGGACGGGGCCTTTATCTGGTCTCGCTATGCACAGATCCCATCGCATCGACATCTAGCCAACTGTTACCCTCAAACAAGCTTGAAGAAAGGTTTTTACTAAAGACCCAATCAAGATTTGACTCAGCAGTTCCAATTTATGATGGAAACGTATGGCAACCATTCATTTTCGAATATGATCGGTTTAGTACCATTATCACTGAAGAACATTTGAAAAGTTTGCGAGACTTTATGCATCATGATAAAACTGGGTCCCCACTCTTGAGTCTATTACTGGCTTGTAATTTCCTCAATACTGATGAATATGATGTTCCGAAAACTACTCGGTGAAAACTCAATCAATATAGATACGATTTTTGATAGTGATGACTCAATTAAAGATTCTGATTTTGAACTATTACATTCTAGTAACAGTGACAGTACTGACGAAGATAACTTAATTGCTTTTACAAATGAGGTTTTTCAAAATACGTGTGATGCGCATTTCGAAGAAATCTCGGAAGAAAATGTGGAAAAAAGGATCGCATGTCCTTCAGAGTGGGCGGCAAACAAAGCCAAAACAGTTAGGAATTTAGGAAAGACCTATGTCTCTGTTAAAAGCAAAAAAACTGTTGCTGCAAGATCAATGAAGCGTTCGTGCGGAGAAAAATGTTTACACAGGTGTGGCACCAAATTCACGGAAGAACAAAGAATGGCAATATTCACACTTTATTGGGAAATTGGTGATTTGGAGAAACAGCGTGAGTATTTGATTCGCCATATGACTGAAATTAAACCTCAGTATCGGTATGTCGCAGAAAAATCAAAAAAAGTTAAATCAGGCTTTCGACTTGGATCATAATGGGTCCCGAGTAAGAGTTTGCAAAACTTTCTTCATGTCTACATTAGGAATCAGCAAGCGTGCAATTTCGACAAGCTTGGAGAAAAGAGTAGACGGTTTTATGCATGTAGACCAACGTGGCAAGCACAATAATAGAAAGGTAGTGGATGAAGCTATAAAGAATGATATTAAGGCTCATATTGAGTCCATTACAAAAGTGGAGAGCCACTACAGAAGAGCTGACACTACTCGAGAGTTTATTGATGGAAGCAAGTCGTTGGCACAAATTCACCGTGACTATGTTGCATGCTGCCAGACACAAGGGAAAACGTTGGGAAATTTGACGATGTTTACCAGAATTTTCAATAATTAGTTCAACTTTCACCAGTTCACCATTAATAACATGCAGATTGAAAATGTGGAAAACTTTACGTATCTTGGAAGTGTCATAACAGAAAGCGGAGGTACAGAAGACGATATTCGTATGAGGATACGAAAAGCGCAACAAGCTTTCAGCATGCTCAACCCTGTTTGGAGGTCTGGAGAATACACTACGAGGAAAGATCCGCATATTCCAGTCAAATGTCATGTCTGTATTACTTTACGGATGTGAAATCTGGAAAGCGACAAAAACCCTTACAGACAAACTGCAGGTCTTTGTTAATAAATGTCTACGAAAAATTGTTCGTATTTTCTGGTCTAACATCATCAGAAACGAAGATTTACTACACCTGACCAAACAAAAGAGGGTAGTAAATGAAATAAAGTCCAGAAAGTGGGGTTGGATCGGTCACACACTCCGAAAAAATAACTCCAGTATTGCAAAGACTGCCCTAGAGTGGAATCCCCAAGGAAAACGAAAAAAAGGTCGCCCAGTACAAACTTGGAGAAGATCCATCATGGACGAGATAAGAAAACAAGGAAAGTCTTGGAATGAGGTGAAGGCCTTAGCGCAAAATAGAACCCGATGGCGCGTTTTCACTGAAGCTCTATGCTCCACTTAGGAGTTCAAGAACCTTATATATAGTTCAACTTTTCATTTTTCTCACCAAAAAAGACCAATATCAGGTATGTGTCGCCTTCGAGAATGGTGACGAAAACTTTCGGCAACTCCATAGGAATGAAATGCAACATCATCTAGAGGAGAAAAAATTGTCTCGTCAGGAAAAGGAGAGGGATAAAGCTCAATCAGGAAACAATGTCATCGTGGCATCGTATGATCTAGCATACGTAAGCAGCGTTGTCAACTCCTCAAGAAGAAGTTTCTGTATTTTACTACAAAACGAAACTCTCCACTTACAATTTCACCATTTATGACATTAAAACAAAACAGGCGTTCTGCAATGTGTGGCACACGAAATTGCCTCATGCATGTTCAAATTTATAATAGGAAAAGCAGCTAGCACTACAGAATAAATTGAGTTTATATTTTTACTAACAACTAGCAATGTACATGTATGCCTTAACACAATTCACCAACTTTAGAAGCGTCGTTCACAAATTTCTCATCGCCGGACACACTCAAAACGAAGGAGATTCCGTTAATTCCACAATAGAAAGAGAAATGAAAAGAACCTCTAAAGGAGGGCCCATTTACGTTCCTACTCAGTATTACCAGTTAATGAAGAGTGCAAAGAAACCTTGAAAGAAAGAAATCAAGTAAAAGAATTTTCATACAACACGTTTATAAATTTTAAAGACTTGGCAGAAAAAATTGGAAAAAATTTTAACAGAAATATTGATCAGAAACGTTTCTGTTCTCAGACATAAAGGTAGTGAAAATTGTAAGAGATAGGCCTTTTGAGTTTTTGTATAAGTTGTCCTATTTGGATGAATTTAAAACTTTGGATATATTTTCCAAAGAATCTAATGTGCGAAAACAAAAACTTACGGAATGGTACTGACTGTAATGTCAACAGCGACGTTGGTAAAGATGGTGAGGATAGTGTACAGAAAACCAGTTGGAATTTCTCTCAAAAAAAGGAAGACTTGATGTCTCTATGCAAAAGTAATTACATTCCGCATAGTTTCCACGATTTTTACGTGTAAGAATTTACGTTTTATGTAAGAATCTAATAGTTTTGAAGTTACCAATATTTTTGATACAATGTGTCTGTTTTCTTAAATAAATATTTTTAATGTAACCACTGAATGATTACTGAGTATTATAATCCCTACAATTTACCTTGCATGTTGGCAATAATTAGCAAATATATATTTCGCTTCACAGTGTTGTTATACGGCAGCCAATAATATTAAGTCGAATTATTTTGTTTATCTAAAAATGCCCTTTTTAATTAAAAATAGCGTACTTTGAAAACTAACTGAGGGGCCATTTAAAAATTTGAAACAAAATCTTGCATCAATACCGGTCCAACTCAAATTTTTTGTAAAATTACCTTCATATATGTTAACAACCCATATAGAAGTCCTATAGCAAAATAAAATTAGGAAAAATACGCTTTAGTATAATTGAACTGATAAAACAATATATTTCAATTTTAAAAAATAAATAATTGGAAAGACAAACGCGAAATAGATCAGAATAGAAAATAATTCCTGAACAGGTCAAGACACAAGAAGTATTCTTGTACGGTATGGTATTGTTATTAATAAAAATTGTTTAATTTTTTATTAAGTTATATAATGAAAATTAAGAAAAGTGACATATTTCTTAAAATTTAATATTTGTCAGTAATTATAAATTTAATAAAACTTACGAACGATGATCAAATGTATTACACATATTAATTATTGATATCACATTCTCAAACCAGTACACATTTTCTTTCCACAGTAAACAGTCAAGGTAACGGCATAGAAATACCAACGATGTGCAGCAAATTACTTCACTAATACCTACTAATACATAGAACTTTCTTCACTCTCACAAAACTACTAATTCAAATAATCGCATCTTAAGCAAGGTGAGCGTTAACACTGAGAGATTATGAATATATACCTACGCTGCGCTGCAAAAAATATTAGCGAATCGGTTTTTACAATTTTATATCAAAAGTATATATACCTGTTTGACCTTCATTAATTGAATCAAATCTTTTGATATCTATTGTATGTCAAGAATAATACTTTTTCATCGTTAAATAACTTTAATAACATAATAAAATACCCATTTCCCGAAAAAGAACTCTAACCACTACGTTATTATAGAACTATGGCAAGTGAAAGATTAAGTTAGAAGAGCAGGAGGAAATTCCATGTAGAAGGATGTCCTATAATATTTTAGTAGTGATGACAGCGACAACGACAATGCGAGTAATGATAGTACTGTTCTGTACGCTAACTACTGTTTGTCTCCTAGATTCCATTCCACATGAGCAACATACTCTAGCTTTTCATTCCTTCAAATTCCTATTTATTCCTTCCCACCCCATACCCATCGCCAACCCACCTGACAATCGTGGCGGTGTATCTGTCAAACCTTCCCCCTATGATGTGGATAAAAACTCAAGGAATGTTACCCCAGGTGGGTAGAGGTGGGTAGACTCTAGGCGAGGCAAATATTCAACCAGAATAAATATAGGAACATACAGTATTAGATCCGTTAACGATGGCATTCTTCTTATTGTAGTGCCTATGTAGTTTTGGGTGTTATTGACATGGCAATTTTGCAAACTGCTGCTCTGAAAATATTTGTAGTTGTTGTGCTGAACTATGTATATTCCATGATCAGTGTTATCTGGATGTACATGTTTGAAGCCACTAAATATCTGGGTAAAACCCGTTAAATATAGTTTTGATTACCTTTGGATTAGTCTTAGGACTAGCAACCCTATTGGAGTCCTACATTGACATGTGGTCAATTCCGTTTGTAATTTAAACATCATAATTATATTAAATATCAAAGATGTAATCCAAAGTTACTCAAACTACATTTAAAAGATGTTTACCCACATATTTAGTGGCTTCATCAGTACATCCAGATATCAGTGATGATGAAATAGTTATTCCGGAAACGTTCTGTAATGTAGCCCAATAGGGTTTTTTATTAATATACCTTCTATAAAGGAAATGTTTTTAATAAAAAATTATTTGTTAATATCTCTATCAGCTTGTCGTGTTTACTGTATCGAACGCTATATGGTAATTAATAAAGCATGCATAAATATCGCAATTCACATCTCTACATCGTTGAAATAGCACTTGTATACTAAAGAGAGACTCTTTCGTACCCACTGCGTTCCGAAAACCAAACTGTTTACGGCTGATTTTTTCTTCGCATAATCTATATATCCGTTGATGTCTAATTTTTAGAAATAACTTTAAAATGTGGCTCATTAAGCTGATGGTCCGGAAATCATTGCAGGATACGGATTTGATTTTCTTTGGTATATCAATAAACGTTGACTTCAGCCATGCTCTTGGTATTACTCTGTTTAAATATATTATAATAGCTTTATGATTTCAGCATATGACTTGTCGGGTCCAGAAGCTTTGCCATCTTTTAGTTGTAATATTGCTTTTTCCACTTTATCTGATGTAATTGGTAAGTGGTCATTACATATATATATATATATATATATATATATATATATATATATTATATATATATATATATATATATATTACATATATATATATATATATATATATATATCTATATATATGTATATATATATATATATATATATATATATATATATATATCTATATATATGTAGGACAGAGGTTGTTCGGACCTATTATTATTAAAGGGTTCTTGTATGTATTTGGTCCATTTGCATATTTCCTGATTTTTATCTGTGATGATGTTTTCCTATTGATCTTGCAGTTTGCTAGCTGTGTTAGATTTTTAAAGAACAGCTGCTTGTTTTACCTTTTTATGCATATTAAATGTATCATATTTTTGTTCCAACAACTCTATCTCTTGTGTTTTTAACCAATTTTCTTTGACCTTTCTTATCTTGGTTCTTGTTTGTCTATGTTATCTGTCTTGTTCTAAATATTTTTCTGATCGTGTTTAAAGTTTCACATACATTTTGGAGCGATTCTTCTGGATTATATGTTTGTTTCATACCACTTGGCTTTTCTGAAAGCATCCGTGCCACTGTCTCTTTTGTTTCCTTATCTTTTAGTTTTCTCATATTACATTTTTTGTTACTTTTTTGTAATCTTTTTAAATCTAAACCTAAATTTACCAATAACAGGAACATGATTTGGAGATATGTCAGCATCGGGGTAACTTTTAACTGATAGGCATCCATTACGAAATCTCTTGTTCACCAATACGTAATCAATTTAGTTCCTTATTATGTTTCCTGGTTATATTGCGGAGAGATCCAAGTATACAAACGTCTTGGTTGTAGTTTGAAGAACGTATTTAGAATTACAAATTCTTCTTCCTCTACTCTTCTAGTTTTCTTCTACTCTTCTAGTAATATTTTTCTCTTTTATTTTAAATCTTCTTTCCCTTTCATTTCTCTTCCCTAGAACAAAATCACCAATGAATTCACCGCTTTTCCCTTTATTTACCTTTACCAATTTTAGCATTCAAGTTAACCATAATAATAGTTATATCTTCTTTTTTAATTCGTTTAAGTGAATTTATCAACAGCTCATAGAATTGCCCTATCTCTTCTTGGTTTATCGCTGGTTGGGACATACACTTGCATGCGAGAGGCCTATGTTCAACAGTGGACTTTAGAAGCTCAATACGACTGCTCAATATCAAAATTATGCTACAAAATTTTTGAACCTCTGTCCATTGAAAACGAAAATGGCGAGTGAGGTAGCAATGAAGCTTATGAAAATATTTTTGATTTTTGGTGCCCCATATATTTTACAATCTGATAATGGACGAGAGAACTAACAAAAGGTTGCACTATGGCTAATTGCAAAATTTTACATGGTAGCCCAAGACGCCCTCAAACTTAGGGCAGAATTGAACGTAGCAACCAGGACGTGAAAAAGATGATACGTTCTTAGATGACAGACAAAAATTCAACCAAGTGGTCGATTGGTTGTTTGTTTTATCAGTACCAAAAAAATTCTTCATTTCATCGAATCATCGGGAGGTCTCCTTATAAAGCATTGTTTGGTAGTAATCGTAAAGCTAGTTTAAAAGGTACTAATATACCCTCCCAATTGTTGATGAACATTAAAACAGAAGAACAGTTACAAAAATAAAAAAATGGGAAATGTGACGACTGTACTGATATACAGCATCAGAGTTTAAACACCAAGAGATCTAATGTAGGATAGAATGATCAACTCACAGGGATTTACTCGAACAACCTGAAAATTCTGAGAATTATGAAGTTATTAAGATTGATACGAATGTAATAAGTAATAATGTTCATTTAGAAATTATAGTGGCTGAACCAAGTTCCTCAAATATAGGTGAGAATTACTCTACAAATGTGGATACCAATAATATTGACGAAGAATCTAATCAGTTAAAGAGGACTGAATACATTGAACTAATTTGGGTCACATGTCAGAATCCTACCACTAGTGCACCTAGCTGTAAGTCTTGCAATAAACATGTTCATGTCGTATGTTTTTTGTTTAGTTTGAAGGTTTTGATTCCACGGTACTGTGTTTTAGATGCAAAATGGAAGAAAACATACTATTTCAGAGAAATGAGGAGCACAAAAATTTAAAACGTGCAGCTGAAAAAATGGTTGACAACACAGCAAAAAACTGACAACTCTACTTATTGGTAATTGTGTGTCTACTTTAGACACCAAAAATTTCAAAGGAAAAATAGTGGATTTAGGAAATTGAGTTTATAGAATCGGTACAATAACAGGAACTATTAAAAATTGGTTTGTGAGACAAGAATTGAACTCGTCAACGGAAAGCTATGTTAATAAAATTTTAGATACTCCGATATCTTCACAGCTGTGACTATAGAATCAAAATTTGAAGGGGGGTGGGGCAAGATTTGTTAGGACATTTTTATACCAAATACAGTTTAATAAGAAAATTAGTTTAGTGCTGCCACATAGAACCTGTTACATATCTGTGCGTCTTATGTTACAATAGACAATCTGACGGCATCAAGTCGGTAAGTGACATGATATATAATATTAACATTGACGTTTTACCTAATAATATCCAAGAAGATACCATGTTTTCTATTATTCACAAATTCACATGTTATACTAAGTAGTTTGTAAAAAAGTTAATAAATATAATTCTATTTATTTACACAAAGATAATTTACAGTCCTCAGCAGTTTTAATTTTATCTATCATAAGATATTCCAACATATTTTGGTCCTTTGAGCCGGATAGTGTGAGTAAAATAGAATCCATCGTTGTAACTAAAGCCGCGTTTTCACGATGGCAATTGGCGAGACAATTGTCAGAAGACAACTGACTGGCATGAAATTATTGTCTTCGTGTAAACACTTCAGGCCAATTGCCTTGCCAACTGCCCTCACAATTGGCCCAAAATTCAGTTGTCTCCGGGAGTAGACTGAGGACAATGAGCTGCGCCCAGTTAGCCCCTCCACCACTCGAAATCTCAATTGTCGCGACAATTGGTGCCGTGTGAACGCTGTAGGCCAGTAGTGCTGCCAGTAGTAATTTGTGTTATTTGGGTTAAATTTAATTTTCGTACAATGAACATAACCTATAGATATGTTTGACGTTAAATGTAAGCTTAATATACGTCAGTGTTGACATATACTCAATTATTTCACACTCTCATATATAAAATTATGGGCAAGATTTATATATATGAAATGAAAATTTAAAATTTAAAAATACATATATAATTAAACAAAAACGTGAAAAATACATATATAATTAAAAGCCTTAAAATTATACCTATAAATATTATAAAATAAAATTATATTTTACATTTAAAATACTTATATAATAAAAACCATTAAAATTATGCTTAAGGTAAAAATTAATAGTTTAGAAACTTTAAAAACTACAGAATAAAGTAAAGTTAAATGAAAA